GGCCCCTTTCATCGTTCCATTTTTATGTATGGGGCCCCGAAACAAAAAAAAAAAAGTTTGGACACCCCTGATCTACCCCGTAGAGAGCGCTATCTTGTCGACACATACCAGCGCATTGTGTAAGATTACGGCTTGTTGCCTCTTGTGTGCGTACGTTAATGGCATGTGCTTTGCAACCCCGCGTCTACGCCGAATGGGATGAGTCAGCTCAACACTCTGCTGTGTCTCATACGGTGAAACGTCAATCCTGAATTCATGTCGGGAGTCGAGACAGAGATATTATGGTCTTAAATTAGAACGCTGTTCATGTTTGCTTTCCCTGTTTTGTGTAGCACCTTTATACCATATAACGTTACGGGATAATGACGAGACTCAATCGGCGCCTCAATCAGAAACACTCCCCGAGAGAGCAGATGACCATCCTTGATTAGCCATTCCACGCTGGGTTTTGTTTGAGTGAAAGTGTCGTCCCGCCGCGGCCACACGAAAGTTTCGTTTCTGTTCCAATGCTAGCAGGGTGAGGCGGCCGTGAAGGAATGAATAGCGAGGCCGCCGCGGCTTCAGCGTCAAAGCAAACATGCGGACAAAACAACACAAACATCCCGCAGCTGCGCTCGCACAATCAAACGCGCGTAATCCATCGACACGGACGCTAAAAGATACTGAGTTCTTTCAATAATCGAGTTGTTTTTACACGCCGAGGCAAAACGCTTCTCGGGGGCCCCTTTGGGAGCGGAAGAACCATTTGGAGCCACAATGCTCGCCTTTGTGCTCTGATGGTCACTAGCCTTGATTCTTATCGCGGCCGCCAAATTATCAACATCCTCTCGGCAACGGCACATCCAGACAAGCCTGGGACTTTCTAGTGCAGTGGCGGGAAGTAAAAAAAAAAAAACAAGTGTTTGGAAATACTTTGCAACGAATTGCTCGGGATTACATCAAAGTGTGCGCGCGTGTACACACACGCCCACACACACACACACACACACACACACACACACACACGCACACACACACACACACACACACACACACACACTGTTGCTGTGCTTGTGTTCATTTTTCAGGAATCAGTATTCTGTTTGAGGATTTATTTTTCTGACGACTACGGTTTACCCACTGCATTAAAAACGGATCTTTACTTTCTACGTTTTGAATTTTGGGAAACCATCTAAATGTTTAATCACCTCCACATATTTCATACAGAGCACACAACAAATTGATGGATAAGTATTTTTAAAATCAAAAGTCAAGGATAATGACTGTTATCGTGGATTACATATGACGATTTGACATTTTGGTTCAGACTTGAGCAAGCATCGTGGAACTTGACATGCTTGATTTGCTTTCGCGGGCCACATAAAAGGATGTGGCGGGACAGATCTGGCCCCTGGGCCTTGACTTTGACACCTGTGCTCTTGGGAAGTCTTGAAACAGCCTGCTTTAAATAGCAAAATTGGAGCAAAGTCAAACACAGAATGTTGCCACTTCCTGTGCAGCGTATTTTCAAACTCCGAGCTTCCTGTTTGTCGGTCTCTCTCACGCACGTACGCACGTCGCGGCGGGAGTGAAAGCTGAACACGGCCAACCTTTTGGGAACGCTTTCTTTTCTCTTTCTTTTTCACATCGTCAAGGTACTGGCGAAGTGGGCGCAGGCTGGGTATTTGCTTTCTCTATTTACAGAGCACAAACGAAGCACATCTGATTCATAGTTACACGCCTGCTTTCTATGACACTCCCAAGCTGTACCTGCAGACCTGAGCCGCCATTTTGCACCAAGGTAAATGCGACCGCAGGCATGTACGTACCTGCTGCACACCAGCCTTTAAAAAAAAAAAAAAAACCTAGCTGTGGAACTGGCTGAGCCTTCTCAATGTTCAGAGTAAATTCATTTAATTGGCTGGTTAATAAAGACCACATCAAGTGCTGCTGAGGTTTGTAGCCTTGTTTAGAATTTTAAAAATATTTCACGTGAGATGGATTTTTTTTTAAACATAAAATGTAGAATACAGCGCGCAAAAGAATTGAAAAAAAAGGGCAATTTTTGGCTGATTTTTCTCTCTGGACTTAAGGATAAAGGATTGGAAAAAAAATTCTAATGATCTGACTGCAATTCATATTTTTTTTTATTGTTGTGACATCAAGGGACCAATATATTTCTAAATAATCTGCCAATTAATCAGAAATATTGGAATCGGAATTGGCCTAAAAAAAAAATCCATATCAGTCAGGCCCTACTCAGTGGACAACAGATATGTATTCAGTCCTTTGTGTGAAATCTGCTTCAGTGACTAAAACTAACTCCAAACTAACATACGTGTTCTGATGGCCACAATTTGACCCTGGAATGTATTTCTATTTTGCGGCAGAAACTTTTTTTGAAACTCCAAAACCTTGGGGATTCCCAACTTTCGATGCGCAACATGTTATTTGGCATTCATCCCGACGCAAACGGTCGTACTCTAGTAACACGAGACTCACGTCAAAACACAATTATCTAACTGCATTATAGTCAAAAACGCTGAGTTGAGCGGAAAAAAATGGCGTCCGCCGACGTAAAAACCTGTGAAAAACACGATTGTGGCGAGACAGCGCGGGTTTATCAAACCACCGGAGCAATTAGCGGCAGGGACTTGCGGTGCAGCCATTCGTCACGACTAACTTTTAAGTCCACAGGCCCACCCACCACCAACCATGCACCAACCATGCGGCACAGACAAATAGGACAAACAAAGCAGCTGCGTGGCCCCGCGTGGAGTCTCTCTCCGTCTTATCCTGAGCATCACAAAGGAGCAATGGCAGCACATAACAGGATCAGTCGGCGAGATCAACGTTAATACGTTTAGCGCTCACGCAGTCGGCGTGGGCTAGTTAACGCCGCCTGCGACAGAGAACAGAGATGTATTGTTGAACCCCCGGGGAGGGTGTTGCGAACACACTTCTTTTGGGATTATAAAACATTCAAAAGAAGGGCAACGCGAGCAAGGTGTACGTAAGGGCTGACAATGGAGGCCGGGGTGGTGGGGGGGGGGGCGCTTCGCACCTGTTGCTGCGCTAAACATGACATTAACGCTAAACATGACATTAACGGTGCTCGACGACTGCATGCAGTGTCACATGTCAAACGGCAAATAAAGTGAAGCAGCTGCCTGAAAAGTCTTGTGTTTGTTGACATAAACAAACCCAGCAGGAGGTCATTTCAGGGTTTATGAATACAATACAACAATGATGAAAGCAGTGAATATAATCTAAGATCCAGGTTTGAATCTTCTGGGACTTTTCTTGTTCTCCAGCTTCCTCCGATATTCCAAAACAATCATCAACAATAACTCGGTGACCTGCGTCTGGCTGGCAACCAGTTCATGGCGTACACCGCATCTGACTCAAAATCAAATGGGATATTTGAATTGTTGTTGATTGCATTTCCAGTTTGCAATGCTGGAAATGTTCAGTCCCAGCGGTATGATTGTTGCCTTATGACTGGTAACCAGTCCTCTGCGATACTTCCTGGAGGTGCCCATGGGCAGGGCTCACATGCCCAACCCTGCCCGCTGCTTTTCTGGAATGGAATCTCATCCATCCATTTACTACCGCAATTTTCCACATTAAGGTGAGCTGGAGACTGTTTCAGCCCAGATACACCCTGGATTGGTCACCTCCCATCACAGCGCACAGATGGCGTCCAATCACATTCACATCCATGGGCAATGTAGAATACAATGTTTGATGTTTTGATGTTTTGGGGATGTGGGTTGACACTAAAGTATACGGAGAAAACATTTTGAAGCAGAAGCTGAGCGTGCAAACGCCACACAGCTTCCAGATTCGAACCCGGAACCTCTGAATGTGAGGCAGGTGTACTTAACACTTGCACATTCCGCTGAGTATTTTCGAATAAAATGTCCTTCAAAACGTACACAGAACTCCAATATAGACAAACAAGTGGCCTTTTATGAAGAAAACAAATCAGAACAACCTTTGAGGAAAAAAATAATTCAACGACTGAAATTAAATGCCGATTACAGCGACTTCCGGAGTGTGCCCATATGCCAAAGTTTCACACGGGCGTCACGGTGGAGTATTACAGTAATATTCTTTCCAACATATTTATGTACATTTTATGTGACCCGTTAAGAGTCTGACTCACCTACGCCGTCTTCGGACTTTAACACCATGTTGTCTGTCTGTCTTGCTGCTTTCGAGTCCGACGCTCAAGTTCGACGAGTCTTATAAGCACCCAAAGTTAATTTCCTCAGCCTTTTTATCACTTTTCCCCCAACAAGTAACAACAAGATGTGTATTATCAAGGTAAAAGTAGGTTGTAGCTTGTAAAAGGGAGCTGTTTCAACGGGTGGGAGCTCCAGGCAAAAGTCCGCCCAAGTCCTGTAGTTACCGTGCAAGTACGCGCGACTGTCATGTCAACAAAGTCGGAACTATAACCTGCTACTGAAACCCTCCAGATTTTCACAATAAAGCAACAGCGCCGTGTCAGGCAAGAGTGTCCATGGGAAATACATCAAATTCAAGTTGGGATTCACGACGTTAATTATAGTCTCACAGGAGAAGAATGGGTTTTACTAAAAATACAGTAACATATATGATTGTGATCATAATGTCTTATTTTGAAGACAAGTACATGACATATGTGGGTGTCCTTTCGTCTTGACGTTACTTGGACGAAAGGTGCAGCCCAAGGGCCTGATGACGCGTTCAGGGCCCACCTCTCCACCCGGTTTTGTGCATAATCGCGCGCGCGCACGCGCGCGCGCACACACACACACACACACACACACACACACACACACACACACACACACGCACGCACGCACGCACGCACGCACACACACATTTCCGCACGCGTATAAGCGCGAGTGCTTGGGGAAGGGCGGGACAGCTGGCCGTGTGGGGGCGGGTAACTTGATTGACACATACAGCAGCTTTTAAGAGAGAGTAAAATAAATAAATAAAATGGCCCACATCCCCTCGTGTTAGTCGAGAAAAATAAAACAACAACCTGTTGCATGTGCGGTGAAACACACACGGGCATCTATTGATCATATGAATCTTTTTTGCTTTCCAGTGACTCATTAACGCCGGTCAACCGGAAAGTGGCAGAGCCTGCCGTTGCTTGCTCACGAAGGTAGAAGAGTTGGAAGTGCAAGAATGCTGCTTTGTGAAAGCCTGTGAAAACAATCCCCCCCATTCGCACGGGCTACATGTTCGGATTCCACGCAGCAGTGTCAGGTAATCGCCACTTATCAAATACCGCATGTTCCTCCGAAAGATCAGGTCTACAGATCATTTCGGACGACTTTGCGTTGAAGGCTTCACTTGTGTTCAAGCGTCACACAACAATACAGCCAGTTAGGAGGTGATCGCTTTTACTTTTTACTTTTGTTGCAGAAAACAAATTACAGAGCGTTTTCCTTTTGAATTCTATCTTCATGTGAATTATGGAGTGATCAATGTCCAGCAAACGCAATCAACAGTGACCCCTTTCGGTTATTTCTATGAACTAGCAGTTCAATTCCAAGTTAGTCTCTGGAACCAGGCAGGGCAAAGTCGCAAGTTCTGTCAAATATTCACTTGAAAGTAAAACATTTACAATATTTTACAAGATGTTGTTTTTTTTTGTTTTTTATGCCGTCATATTCATCCATCTATCCATTTTCTGATCCGCTTATGAAGACAAGGGTCTTCATACCCATCTTTGTATAAAATATGTAAAATGGTTTATTTTAATCATAAAGGCATTCAAGAGCATGTAAAAATTATTTTCAACAAAATTAACAAATTATGGAATGAAATAAAAATTCAATAAAATTATTCAAAACACATAACAATGAACCAATACATTTCACAAGCAGTCGCCCACTTCACAACCCACCCCACCGGCCCCCCGCCTCTTAAAGGAACATGCAGCACAATACATACGGTATCTTCTGTACATTTTATGCTTGCAATTTGTTTTGGGTGTTCAATGACAGTGACAATAGATTTCAAAAGTGATGTTTTGGTCTCTCTATATTTTATATTTGACTTCTCACTTATTGCTAGGCATGCATGAAAGATGACTCAGCCACAATTATTGAGTTGTACCGCTGCAGGTCTGATTTTGAAAGCTGCTGTTTTCCTTCTGCAGGTGCACGGTGCGTTCATGACAACTTTCAACGGGGAAACCTCCCTGTAATTGTCTGACCGCAAGGCAGAAATAGTCCTGAATGATTGATTGCTTGATGCGTGATATGAACGCCACACTTCTGGCTGCTTGCATGTCGATTTTACTGCCCTGTAGCCAAATAATAGCTTTTAGAATGGTATATATTACTTCCTGTCTTGGAAAGCAACTTGCTGCGTGACCATTAGCTGAGTCGGATATCATGTTACAGTTCAAGTTGATTTTTAAACTAAAGCATAAAAGGGAATCACACATGTACTTAAAACAACCACACAACAATGCAAAATGCCATAGATAGGCTAATGAATAGCATCGATAGTCAAGAGTGTCATAAACTTTTATGCAACTTAACTTTGCCCTTAAGCAACAATCATCAAACATGATAGACAGCCACAAAAAAAGTGTGTGTATGTGTGTGCGTGTGTGCGTGTGTGTGTAAAAATATCGTTTTTCTTTCCAAAATGGCTGCCTCAAAAAAAACGGCGGACTTTCTGTTCAGTTGGGCCCTTTAGACATTTTTTGGGTGTGTCCCATTACGAGAGACACGTCCGCCAAATTCCGTGTTGATACATGAAACTGGTGTAAGTGTGTGATATTTTTTTTTTCGCTTTTCAGGGCGCGCTACTGAGTGAGTTTTGGAGGGTGATGTACGAACACCCCGAAAATCAATCTGAAAGCGATCATTATGAGGTGACAGCACAAGTCAATCGGGATTAAACATCCGTGAGACCTTCAGGGGTCGTTTGAGTTTGCATGACAACAGCCAGTGAGATTGTGCTGTCATCGCATTACCACACCACGACCAAAACTAATGGACTTCCCCATTCGGGATCCACGTCGTCTCTTCACACACACACACACACACACACACACACACACACACACATCTCTTCACACACACACACACACACACACACACACACACACACACACACACACACACACACACACATACACACACACCATGCTGATTCAGACGTTTGGAAATCAGTGACACTTCCCTTTGCGTCACACTCCGTCAGCAGCTTACAATATTCGCTGCAACACGTCAAGTCATGTCAACATCGTCTGGCGGAATGACTTCCGATAACAAAGCTGGGCATCAAGTATCATAGTGTGACAAAATGTGCGACAAAGGTTGCACCGACCAATCAATTAGGGAATGGAACAATTCTGATTTATCATATAAGACCAGTGCTCTGGCCCTGTGGGGGGATAAATTTGAAATCAGATTGGTTAAAGAGCAGTCCTATTGCTAATATAGTACAAGTTACATTAGTTAGCACTACTCTGAAGGTCTATGGAGAGGTCAGGTTTCCCTGGGGTCACATAGAATCTGAAATCTGATTGGACAAAAAAATAAATCAATCTTAACGTCCATATGTACTAGAAGCAGTCGCAGCATGAATGAATTCATTAAAAAAATACATGAAACAAACATTAGAAATGAGTGCCAAAAAATGTGTTTTGTTTTTTTCATTTAAAAGGTTACCTGCAGCTTGCTGGAGTATCTCCACGCCAGGACACAAGAACGAGTGAAGGCTGGAGATGCAGAGTTCATTGACTGTCCCCATGTCGAATAATATTAATAATAGTCAAAAATCGAATTTGTACAGCACTTTTCTGAAGACTCACACTACACACACTACAGATATATAACTAGGAAGTTGTTATTCCACTGAGAGTTTCTTGGGCGAATCCAGAATAGTTGAATGAATTTCACCGGATTCACTTCATCTACTCGCGCCTCTTAGAAGACGTGACTTGTTTTCCGAGGCGGCTGCTTCCGTTTTCGCCCGGTTCCTCTTTTTGTATTGCTGTCTCAGTGTTTCTCCATCAACTCTTTTCTCCCTGTCAGTCCCCAAAATCATGCGAGACAGCGCAAAAATGTACTTTTTTTCAGTCACAAGCACTTTTAAAGTGACATAAATCCACAGTCCATAATTTGTGTTAATAAGTGACAATTTTTCATATTTTTTTTTTCCATTGTATTTATGTCGTCTGAAAATGTGTCGCTTATTAACGGGCAATCCCTTATTACCCCAGATTACAGTTCTAGTTCTTATTGTAGTTTTGTTACAGCAGTTAATAGGGGGCGCCATCGCTCAATCGATTTGAACGTCATCGCGGTTTGCCATACGGCCAAATACCAACAGGTTCACAAATATTTGTGTTCAAAAATAAAAGTGATTAATGCCACTTGGTGGCATATTTGGACATAATTTCGAGGTACAAGTGACCCAAACTCAAAGTTGATAACAAAGTCAACCACAAGGTGGAGGCAGTGTGCAACTACAAAACGACTGCGTCTACTCAAACAATTTGGGACATTTTATGGACTTGTGACTTTTTAATGGATCGTATACAAATAGTTGGGTCTTTTAAGCGTTCACTACAACAACTTCAAAACAACAAAATCACTAATTTCTACCAAATAAATGCATTCCCGTCAACCACTACAAACCGTGCCGTTCACCCCCCCCCCACCCCCAACATAAAAACGTTAACATCCTCCCCTGCAGCGAGATGCTAGAGTTGAACACTAAATATAGACTTAATGTGGAGATCACAGAATCAAACTGTCACAGTAAAAACTTCCGATGGTCACAATCGGTGCATTTTAATGAGACGCTCTCACTTTTTAACGTCCGTTTCTGCGTCGTATATTCTGTTTTTTACTATTATTAGCATGGGTCTCTCGTGGTTTGGCTGGTTTGCTACTAAATTTGACAGCTCCTCTCTTCTCACTGTGCGTTTGTTCATGACAGGGTCTGTGTGCATGCGCTGCACAAGTGCCAATCATAACGAAGGGAGGGTTCACCAACATGATCACAACAAAAAGCTGCCTCAGTTCAATTGGAGAGGAACACGAGTGGTGGTGGCAGTACAGTGGAAAAAAATAATTTCTAGGCGAAAGGTGGACTACACCCTGAACTGGTCACCAGCCAGTCGCAGGGCACACGTAGAGACAGACATACGACTATGATAAATATATATGAGTAGTGAAAATAAATATACCATAAAAATGAAAAAAGTGTAAACGACTATGCTTTAAAAATCTTAGCGTAATATAAAGTATGCATGTGCGTGTATAAATACAAGCGTAAAGACACATAGATATGTAAATAAAACATTACATGTAAAAACAAATCAATGTAAAAATATAAAAAATAAAACCAAACTACTCCTGATATATAGAATAACAATTAATTTATAACATTCATTTGTTTTGGTTGGAAACGTTGCAATGAGGACAGTGCTTACTGCTGCTCTATTTTGAGATGCTCTGCAAGCACACGGAATACTCAAGTGATGCATAATTGATACAAACGCCTCTGTCATTTCCTCGCCAACCTCAGCACATTATGATAAATCATCTCGTATCCTTTCCACCTGCGATTACCGGTACATTAGTTGCTCAGTACAGCAGCAGCGTGCCGTCATATCTGCAGTCTGACGCTTCATAATAACTGTACATGACATAACCTATTTTTCCCCTTTTTATATATGCATATAGTAAGTCACATGGTAGATGTGAGGAAAGAAGAGTTGTTAGGGACAAACCTGGAGTGTCTCCCTCCATCCCGGTACTCCTGTGGCGGCGTGAGGGAGTCTCAGCCGCCGGAGGCGGCAACGAGCTTATCAGCGCACATTGATACAAACGCCTCTGTCATTTCCTCGCCAACCTCAGCACATTATGATAAATCATCTCGTATCCTTTCCACCTGCGATTACCGGTACATTAGTTGCTCAGTACAGCAGCAGCGTGCCGTCATATCTGCAGTCTGACGCTTCATAATAACTGTACATGACATAACCTATTTTTCCCCTTTTTATATATGCATATAGTAAGTCACATGGTAGATGTGAGGAAAGAAGAGTTGTTAGAGACAAACCTGGAGTGTCTCCCTCCATCCCGGTACTCCTGTGGCGGCGTGAGGGAGTCTCAGTGGCCGGAGGAGGGAGGCGGGGAGGCGGCAACGAGCTTATCAGCTTCCCGGTACTCCTGTGGCGGCGTGAGGGAGTCTCAGCCGCCGGAGGCGGCAACGAGCTTATCAGCGCACCGCCCGGAGCAAGCCGGAAACCTCCTTCCGCTCTCTCTCTTTCTATTTTGGATACTCCTCCTCCTTCGTCCACGCTCGTATCCACCCAACGTATCCTTCGCCTCGCCACTTTGAACTTGACAAAACACAAAATAAAGGTTTGTGTACGTGCTGTCAAACGAGGGCAGCGGTAACTTCTGACGCCGCCGCCCCGCCCCCGTCTCCTCCGTGACGCCACCCCCGACTTCACCTGACAAAAGGTGTTCGCATATTCCCCCCACCTCCCGTTCTCGGTCTTTCGTGTAAATAATTACATAAGAAATCGGAACTGAATTTGTACGTATCAGTGTAGGAAGGTGGGCTGAAAACAAGGGTGACGAGACGGGAGGGAAAAAGGGATGAAGGAAGGATGGAACGAAGGGAGGAAACATGGCGTAAGGAAAGGGAAAGGACAGATAAAAGGAAGATTTATGGCGGGAAACAACGTCTGAATGGAAGGATGGATGTAAGGAAAGACGGAGGAGGATGGATGAGTACATGAAGGAAAGAACAACCGGGAAAAGGAGAAAAGGAAATGAGGACGCATGAAAGGAGGGAAGGAAACATTGAGTATGAAAAGGAAGGAATGAAGACGCGAAGGAAAGATGGAAGCAGAAGGAAACGACCACACTCAAGGAAGGATAGATGGAAAGGGGAAAAGGAAGGAAGCAAATGTTTGAAAGGAGTGACAGGATGAAAGAAGGAAGGAGGGAGGGATCAACCAGAATGGTGTGAACGGGAGGGGAGGACGGAAAGAGAAGAAGGGCAAGGTGGAAGTCAATGTATTGACAAAAGGAGAAAAGGAAAGGGGGATTAAGAAGGGGAAGTGCCCTGGATGATATGAAAGGGTGGAAAATGAGATGGAAGGAAACCAGAAAGAAAGAAATGCTATGAAAGTAAGGACCTTAGGGATGATGGATGGAAGAAATAGGGAGGGAGGAGGGTGGCAAGATGGATGGTATGGAAGGAAAGTTATGATACAAGTAGGTAGGGAGGATGGATGGAAGGAAATGAGGTTGAAGGAAAGGTATGTTAGACAGGAAAGAATGACGGGGATTGAATGAGGGAAGCGGAGGGGTGACGGATCGAAAAGGGAGACAGGATGGAATGAAAGGATGGGGGGTAGGAAACTCTGAATGAGAAAAAGTTATGGGCAAGGAGGCAAGTATGATATAAAAGGAACAAAGAAGATGGGGTGGGATGCAAGTAAGGATGACAGAAGGAAACAACGATGTAGGAAAGGAAGAAAGAAGCACAAGGACGCAACAGAGGGTGGATGAAGGAAGGGAGGTGGGAAATAAAGTGTGAGGAAGGCATGTGGGAAGGAAGCTAGCACATAAAAGGAGAGGAGGAAGGAATGTACGATGTATTGGAGGACGAAAGAGAGAGGAAGGGGACAATATGAAATGGAGAATGAAGGAAAGGAGGGGGAAAAAAAAGGAACAAAAGGAAGTATGGCTGGAAGGAAAGGCTCGCCACCTTTTTTGATCCTCATACCAACATACATTCGAAAAGGGAGACAGGATGGAATGAAAGGATGGGGTGTGGGAAACTGAATGAGAAAAAGTTATGGGCAAGGAGGCAAGTATGATATAAAAGGAAACAACGATGTAGGAAAGGAAGAAAGAAGCACAAGGACGCAACAGAGAGTGGATGAAGGGAGGGAGGTGGGAAATAGTGTGAGGAAGGCACGTGGGAAGGAAGCAAGCACATAAAAGGAGAGGATGAAGGAACGTACGATGTATTGGAGGACGAGAGAGAGAGGAAGGGGACAATATGAAACGGAGAATGAAGGAAAGGGGAGAAAGGAGGGCAAAATAAGGAACAAAAGGAAGTATGGCTGAAAGGAAAGGCTCGCCACCTTTTTTGATCCTCATACCAACACACACTTGAAGCCCTATTTTGGAACACTACTTTGAATTTCTGAAACGAAACCAACATTTGTGATTGGTTGCAGACCACACAATGGAACTAACTCCCAGGATTTCTTTGTTCCTGTCATGATTCCAACGCACCGGTGACTGAAAGCACAAATAAACTCAAACTCGACTGGCATTTTTCAGCAGACATCGCACAAACACAGCAGCAACATCTTGACAAAACCAACCAACCGCCCCCCCCAAAAAAAAGTCACAACTTCATTGCAACTTTTTTTTCTCTTTTAATTCAAACAGCATCCATTTCGAGTGCCGCGTGGCCTCGACAAAACACACGAGCAGGTAAACGCCCACCAAATGACTCATTAAAGATGTCTTTTCAAGATATTTATAACCGTTTTTTAAAAAAAACATATGTATATATTTATATAGCCAATTTAAGGCAAAATCTCTAGAATGGAAAGAAGGGGCTAAACTTTACAGCATGGGAGGACTGTACACTTAAATGGGTTTTCTGTCATGACGTTGGTGCAGGGTGGGGTGGGGGTCCCCCCAATACTGTGAGTCGGGACCCAAACATGAGTGACCGGTCACTTTTGTGGTATTTGTACAGTTCATGTCTTAAGTTAATGGTCGGGTGGAAGA